ATGGAAATGAACTTTATTGTCTTAATGTAACATCAGAAAAGGATATTCTAAATTGCATTACCACGATGACGGAAAGAATGTAAGTCTATTACACAAAGCATGACTTGATATACATTCATTTATTTATATACTCAGTCATTGTTTCTTGGTCTTTCCGATGTTTTTTTGTTTTTTTTTTTCGATAAGAGGTGTACAGTTGTCAGCAGATATGATACTACGCTTGACAAACACAAATTTAAGCGAGAGGAATTTCCCTGTTTGAGTTCACTCGTTTAATATTTTTTTTTGTTTTTTTGTTTAATAATGCACCTCGGCCGTTTGAACGTTGCAATCATCTTTAGTTGTAAAGTGTACGTTTTGTCCGGCAAATATTTCGAAATGATTTTTTTGGATACATGGCGTCCTCTGCTGAGGAAATTGCCAGAAAACTACAGTGAAGTTTTAGAAAACGATATACCCAGTCGCTCCCCATCCTCTGCAAAAAATAAAATAGAAATGAAATATGATCTGTAACGAATTTGAGCCAATGACCCCAAAACAGTAAACAAATACTGCACACGGCTCCAGCGTCCCATCAAGTAAGCGTCGCATGAAGACATGATGCAATTATTAACTGTTAAACAATTATGCATACAGACGCGTTACTAAATTGTTAATTACTCAGGTATAAAATATCCAATCCAAACACAAAATAGCTGTATCAAAGTCGACGATACAAAGATAACGTTGCTAAATTTTAGATCAATAGCCTCAGTACTCTTGCCACACAAATTATTTATTTGATTACAGAGGATGTATTGGAACGTTATTAAAGAGAATCTATGGGCACGTTCCAAATAATTGCTACTTTCTCAACTAAGCTATACGAATTATTTAGATTCTAAATTTTTTATATCTTTTATTTTATATCTTGTTTGCGTAATAATAATAATATGCCAGCAGCAATTTCTGTATTCTAATTGGCCAAGAACATGTAAGTCAATCTCAAATCAGTGCAATTTCATCAGTGCTGTGAAATGAAATTGAATGCAAAAAGGTGAAATTGAAATGATTGACAACTCCGACAGAATGGAGGACGAACAAACAAAAATTAAGCAATGATTTGAACTCTTTGCCTGATTTTAATACAAAGAGTTTATAACAAAACAAAGTACAAAGCTCAGCAAAAATTACTAAACTATTTATCGCGTGCTGTGTAAGATAAGAAATATACACAAGAGCTATGAGGACAAAAACATAGACTTCAGCTTGAGGTGAAATATGCAGGAGCCGGTCACGACGGCATTACAAAATCCCAGTTAAAAAAGTAAATGTTAAAATTCTTTAGGACTACGATGCAAAACGCTAAGAAAGACCCAACAAGACCCATCTACTTTTGAAGACGAAAGATGCAAGCATTCTACTTTTACGAAAGAACAAACACGTAGGGGCCATACCACCCCGCTAATGTTTCATGAAGGCTATATTTGCTTGGTTTATATATTTCTGAAAAAAGTTTGGCAGATGAGCTTTCTTTGTTGTCCAGTTTATTTTAATTTGGAAGTTGTGACAAAATGTCAGATTATGACGTCATAATTGATGAAGTCACCAAAACGTGCTATAATTTTTTGTAAAATCTGACGTAAAGATTATGTCATTGGAAAGGCCTTGACTTGAGGAGTAAAATGCGGGAAACTGTTTTTTGCTGTGATGATTATTTTTTGAGATATGGTAAATTAAATATTTTTTTGTCCCCAACGGAATTTGCTTAACCATACTGTCCTTCTTAAGTTAGTCTCTCTGGTTTATTTTTTTCAGTTTTATTCTAGGAAGGCTAATAATCTAAAAGAATAGAAAGCTTGATGTTGTAAAAAATCGTATGGTTTTAGAAATTTGATTTTCGGCTTTGTTAGGATGGTATTAACAGTAAAAAAAACGGGTGACGTCACAGGTTATGACGTAATTTTAACTTAATAACACTAGAGGGATAATTTTTTATCTCGATTTTCTTCTTTATTTTTGCTTTAGTCATCTGGCACATCACATGTGCAAAATAGCTGCATTTGCTGGAACAAAATTACGGCTCCAATTTGGGGATTTTTCTCAAGGGGGACCCCATATTTTGCAGAGTTATTTTTCATATTTAAAAATGTCATATTCCATTCAATTTTTGTGATATGGACAAAATTTTTTCAGGTTTCAACTCCCCTTGATGTGCTCTTTCGAACACATTGTTAAAAAATATGCATATTAAAAACTTCAAAAGTGGCAAAAAACATGACGTCATCAGTGTGACGTCACAACTTTGGTATCTACTGACATTTTTTCACATAAATATAATTGGCAATAGGTCTCCTGCTTATCTGCCACGTTTGGTGTAGAAAGAGTCAATGCTTTTTAAGTAATGCGAAATAATGTGAAATACCCAAGAACTGACGAAACATTCGGGGGGTGGTTTGGCCCCGACGTGAAAGTTTAGATTTTAGGTAGGTAAGATAGTTCACCAACAAAACGAGACAAAAGCTTTAACAGTCAAATATAACCTGTACAACGTCAGAAACCAGGAGAAGCTAATAAATGTCCTTCAGTGCTAAGAAAATCCGTTTCTTGGTTAATTTAGCTTCGTTCCTCGGTATTTTGGTTAAAGCTACTTGTGTTTGGTTGAAGAGTTTCTTCTCGGCGAAGATAAGCTTAAACACGTTGCAGAGTGCTTCAACCACTCGAAAAACAGTTGGCAAGAAAGCCGCATCAAAACCCAGGGAGTTTTTCCGTTATTGGTGGTCAAGTTCAATTCAACTGTGAATAAAGACTGCTTTTTACAGTTAAAAGAAACTGCTCAGGCTTTATACATGACTTGAAGAGGGTGAATGAAAGTTCACGCCTGAATTAACAAGTCAAATTTTCATCCAGTAAAGTTGAAGTAGCCTCACGCCTCCATTTGTCACCTGTATATTTTTAACAAATATAAATCAAATGGTTTTTCTCGCGCAATTTGGAATAAATAAGCAGTCGTAATTTTTCAAAGGCTACAAATCTTTTGTAGTCTTAGAAAACCCTATTTGTGCCTTTTTATTCCAAATTGCACTCGAAATCATTTGATAACCTGCACTAATCGATTAATTTACTTTTGCAGGGATTTGTCCTCAAATAATATCGCTTTTCTACCAGATCATGACAGAGTGTTTGTCAACCTCACAAATACGGAATACCTGTAATGCGCCG